TACCTATAATATATTATTATATTATAATTTAATCATATAAATTACATCACTTATATGTGTACAAAAAAAAAAAAAAAAACACGGTGGTATATCTATTCACAATCTTCAGTCTTCATTTTCCTATTTTCTGTAGCCTACAGTAGGCCATAAATATACTACCTACACTACATAATATTATGTGTAGAATATAAAACTATAACATGCATGTGTCATTTTTTAGTCATTATAAAGTATTTCAAAATCAGTACGAAATAAGTGTTTCCGGAATAGTGTGTACGATACAAATATATGCACTACATTTACATTACTCATCGTTACGGTATGTAATATAATATAATACATTTCGCATGTATTTATACTTTCATCATACCAATGCGTTCGATTATACGCGATATTCTTCTATACAACGCGTTTTATGAATGAAACGTGTGTATCTCACGATATACTACGGTAATATAATAACTACTACACTACTATACGTATACAATAATATTATGCGCGTGCACACATTCTACAACTATATGGGAACTCTGAAACGACTATGTAATGCATGTAATATAAGATATATACCTATATAAAGGTGTACTACTGTACTATACTCAAAATCGATAGGTGTCCGTTTTTATGCGTTGCGTCGCTTTGACGATAATATTATAATAATATTATAATGTAATACGTAAAATGTACGTGAGCGTGTATACCTATGTGCGTGTATGAATGAAAAACCTGCTGGCGGACACGCATCTGGATTATTGGATATATATATATGCTATATAGGTTGGAATGTACGCGTTACTACAATATTATGTAGGTACATATTGCACATATTTATATCTTAAATTACTCGCATATATATTTAGTCACGGAATCTAGTTCTTGGGTAAACGGTTGAGTTGTTTTGAGGATGTAAGTACTTACTGAAATTTCGTTTTTTAAACTGTTTTTTACCATAATATTGTGTGGGACAAACATAATATTACAGTTTATAAACGATTAATTTGTTATCAAATAAAATTGCTTTGTAAAGTAGAGTAAAAACAAAAAATTTTCTCTTCATTTTTGCTTAATGCTATTTTGTTGATTATACGTACAGATATTTACATTTTATAAAAATTATTATTATGTCAGAATAATATTTATACCAAATGTTAACTTGTTAACAACACTTATTCTGTGCATGATTTCAAAATACGTACCTATTTCAAAAAATATTATATTCAATTATATATCATGTTCTCTACTTAAAAAAGCTACAATGATTAAAAATAAAGTAAATTATGTAATTCAATCCCACTTTTCATCGGTTTATCGATGCATGCAGTTGAGTCTTGAATAATTTTACTGAGTCACTCATTTTGCGTTCTTTCACTTATATACTCAACAAATAATGAATTTAAGCAATAAAATTAAATTTTAGATACCTTCTTCATGTTCCTTAAATACCACTTGGATACTGCTATTTAGTAAAATCAATCATTCAAATTTATATCTAGGCATAGGGCATTCTCGCGTTTATTATTCAATCATATACTCATCCTCAATTTTTATCCTTAGATAATAACTATTAAGTATTTAAATACCTATATATAATATATTATATTATACTATTATTTAAACGTGTAATATTGACAATAATGTCCTATTATTTTGCGTCATTCAAATATTCAATGTTATGTATTTATAGCAAAAACTTTAAAGGAAGTGTACACAACTTCCGCTGATTATTATTGTTTTTAAGTATACAAATCACATTAAAAGAATTATTCGCACGTGGTTATCGCACGATGTTATTCGTTTTATTGTCACACGGATCGTAGACGAAGACGACGTTAACATTTTAATCTATACAAGACTATACAGTGTATTATATAAATATGTGTACGTCGTACGTATACGTGCACACCATATGTGAGTAAATTTTTTTCTTTCACTGTACTGCAATAATATGTAAGTACTGACTGCCAAACAGAAGATCGTTACTGCACTGTATGCCGCACACGGTAAAATAAAATAAATATAATAATACTATGAGTATATGCGACACACGACCTACAATATATATATTATAATAAAAACATGTGTATCTATATTGCACACGGCGGCGGTGAAAACTGTTGCAGTACAGTTGTCGTTATAATTTTTTTGTTCGTATATAGAAAAATTATCGCGAGTACGTGCAGTCATTTTTTTATTGCCGTTCGGTCCCCTCGCGTATATTAAATTATATTCGCTGCGTATAGTCGTATACGTCTTACCTATATATACATACCTGTGTCCTGTACAGTATAATAATGTAATATTGTAATCGGTCGGCGCGCGGCGTCACATAGGAAAAACGAAAAAACGAAATTTGGAGGACGGAGAAAGGAACGGGCAAAAAAAAAAAAAAAAAATAAGAAGGTAACCCGTAGTACACACGCGATTTATTACTCTGTCATCTCTGAATCACTGTAGGTATAGATATAATAGACGTATGTACGCGTATACAGAACGCCCAAACGCATACACACACAAATATATATATTACGTATGGTATAATAAACCTATCTATATAATACACACGTATTATTATTATTATTATTTATTATTTTTTATCAGTGCGTTACATTACATTATTGTTTCCCGTCTCCGTTCATAATATACACTATACCTACAGGGTGTTTCGTGTCTCCAGTAGGCTGGCAACTATATTAAATCATTTCAGCCTCCTGCAGTGCAAACTAAATAAATCGAAGACTACTTAAACGTATTTTTAAAATTTAATATGTATATTATTTCGAGGATTGACGGGGTGAATACTCGTGGATGTTGTCTCATTGAATTCATGTATTTTAATAAGCTTTGCATCGATAAATTAATTCAAATTGAACACCGAACACTGTAGTTGAAAATCAATTCAAATTTTGTAGTTATTTGTGTCCTAAATAATGAATTTGTGAGGTCGAAAAAATCACGTCAGGAGTTTAAATCTATATCACAATATCAAAATTTAGCGATGATGTAATCCATAATGTTTATGCGAGGTGTAGATTGCAATTATTGATTATACACTGATATTCGAAACTGCTGTTTTGGTAAATGAGATTTTTTCGGTTTCTTTTGGTCACACGTGAGACTATAGGTATACAATTTACGAGTATATATTATATAATGACGGATATGAGAAAATATTTTTATCGCAGCGTTACCAAACACACTGTATACGTGCCTAACTGACGACTAGACGGTCTAGGAAGTTAGGGACATCAACGCGAAAATCCCTGCGGTGTGTTATACCTGAATTATATAGGTGTATATCATACCTTAATACAATATTGAATGCACCTATATATTATATTATGTACCTATATACGCCTATTGTCTACCTATATACCTACGTTTGCTTAATCAGCTTATTTGGATTCGATGCCGCGCGCGCGTTTAGCACCGTTACGCTCCCTCACCCCCACTATATATATATATATGTTCACGCGGTGGGTCACGATCCGCCGGAGCCTAATGATCGGTTTCGGATTCTCTGCGCACCGATGAAATCGGATAGGACCGCCGCCGCCGACACAGTCATTGAGTCATCCGCACGTAATTTCTTTTCTTCTTTTTTTAATAAGTTTTTTTCTTCTCTCCTCCGCACTGCATACAAAACCGTAGTGAACCTATACGCATAGGTGGTGGCGGAGTGACGAGGGGGGATGAGGCTGCTGCTGCTGCTGCCGCCACCGCCGCGTGTTGCCGGGACACAAAAGAACATCCGGTGGACACCACAGGAAATCGGGTAGCGTGTTATGACTACTATATGCGTCGAGGGCGACGTTCGCACACGAGCCGCCCGCGCTGGCGGCACGGAACGTCGTGGCGTTTGTTTCGTTTGTTTTATTCGGGTCGTTTACCGTACACACGGACGGTTTCGTGTTAACGTCTTTTCCCCCGTCCTAAGGTTTAATTTTAATAGTACGCATAGTATAAGATATATATCAGGCCCGCGTCCATTTTCTATTTTTTTTTGCACACGCAATAAATTGGTAGATAGAGGGACGCTAAGGGCTGATTTAAACACCAAATACATAATAAATCCATAACAGTTGTAATACTATGTAAACGTCTATTCGACAGCATTCTAGTAATCTGACATCCAAGTGTGAACGCGTTTTAGTGGTTCTAACGTGTATTGTATAGGCACGAGTTACCATCATGTACCGAAATATAATGTATTATTATATACGTGCCGACCGGGGGATTAGGCGGGATCCGGCGTGCAGGCTCCATTCGGGAGGTAGACCTCCCTGTTCCGTTTATAACTCCTCCCAAATCGCGTGTGCCCGGTAATTGAACTGCCGTAATGAAGTAACAGCTGATGGTACAGGGCGAGTGGGCAAACAAATTCTTTAGAAACCCCATTAAGCCGTGTGTTGTATGTAATAAATAAATACAATAACATCAGTTACGTTCGTTCGATTAAAAGGCACTACAAAAGAGCAATATTTTAAAAAAATTGTGCACATCAGCGTTTATTTAAAAATATTATTTCCGTATACATTAACACCGGTTAATAACGATAATAAAAAAAAATAAAACCAGTGCCTAAAATTTTGTTTTTACACTTGTGCAATGGATAAGAGCATTTGGTGTGTTGTTTAATGCAATGTCTGTGCACGATATACTATTTACTACGTACTATATGGGTATACCTGCGTAAATACGACCAGTTTATTTTTGTCTGTTCATCCTCTGGTACAGGTTGCGTGTGCGAACGGCGCCTAGGTCCGAACGTAAAGGTATATTGTCATCGTCGGTGACGAATGAGGGGGAAGATGTGTGTGGCCATGAATGGTTGGGGGGTTGGTAGGGGGTACCAGGTGGTGTGCTGTATATACACAGGTGTTTTGTCGTATTTAGGAACGCATTAATAACATTCTACGAAGGAGCCAACCGCTGTGTCGTGGCAGGGGCATGAGTGGTGGTGGCGGTGACGGCGACGGCGGTAGTTCCATCCGGTGCATGGCCGGTTCGGTTCAGTTGGTTATTTCACTCACGACCCGCAACATCGCAACACATCGTCGTCGACATACCTTAATGTACCCAGTACGTGCGCCGATCGACCTATTGTGATTATTAATTTTTTTTTCCAAAACGGTTTGTGGTAGCTTAGCTCGATATCGTACGATCATAAAATAACATCAGTTTTCCTATTACATACGCGCAGTGAATTTTTTCTCATTTATTTTTTATTGCCATCGCCTGTCTGTGAGAATGGAAGAAGATCTTCAAGCAGTCGTTGAATAATCGCAAACGCCAACTTTGGCCACACACAAACCCAGTTACCACCACGACGCGGGGTAAGAAATAATATATTATCATAAATCATAATAGTACCTATATTGTGAAATTTCATTATAATTCGCTTATCCGTGTCGTAATCGGCTATAATATTTTATAATAGTTATAACATTTCGATGTATTTATTTTTTTTGTGGTTTTACGAAGTAAACCGTGAATTTAATGTCTGTATTTTTGAGTATACACAGTTAGGCACTGTACGGGGTTGGATCAAAGGTAAATAAATTATCGGTGTAATAATTTTCGTGATTTGTTAATTCATGTTTGAATGTTTGAATTTGTGTTAAGAATTATCCATAACCACTAAAAAACAAACATAAATAATACCTATATATTAGTAGGATTAAGGTTTATGTGCCTGAACTGTATGTGACTCGTGAGAATACGTCGCGTGTATTGTTGAACGTATAAAAAAATATAATGTAAATTTTTAAACACACGCAGGTTCCGACATGTACGATTTCGTGGAATGTCTGAGACATTTTTGATTGTCCACGCAGCATTGCGTTTCTACTTTTTTTCTTGCTATTTTGTAATTTGAGTTGTTAATATATTGATATATTATACACACAAACCTAATATTAATAATTTGAAATTTGACATTTGGCTTACTTTATCTCGATTATAAAAATTTTGTAAAGTTAAATTAAAATGAAATTAATTGATGACAACTAATAATAATTTATTAATTACTCTAAATATTATTGAAGGATTTTAGAACGAAAAATATATTTTATTCAAGATTTTGCAAAAAATAGATACGGAAGTTATCTTAGTTTGCTTTTTACGAAATGAGTTAGGTATCAAAAAGTTATTATATCATAAAATCCTAATTATAGGTTGGCTCTATAATGTATTATATACATATAATTAAATTTAAAGTAATAAAATAAATGTATTGTATACGTCCAGCACATGTCATAATATAGGTACTATTTTAAAACCCTAACTAAACCTTATTTATATATTTCTCTAATTTTTTAATTTTTAACACATAAATTAATAAGTACTATTGGTAAGTCGGAATCTAGGTATTAAATAATATATACATGTACGTTTAAATTTGATTTTTCTTTATAATCATTATTTGTGTATTCATTTAATATTATTGGTCTTTCATTGTTTACAAAATTTCCTTTTATTCAACGAAATTTAAATTATTTAAAAGTTATAAGTATACCACATGAGTTATAGGTATCCAGATAATCTTCTGACAATAAATATAAGTATTTATGCGTAAAACGTTTGACTCAAATGATTTGAGTGTGTTAAATTAATGTGTATAAATATATTTCTGTTCAAAATTTATTCCTACTTAACTAAGCTGCAAACATTTGTAAAATAAATAAAAATTTTGCTAACAAAAGTATTTAACAAATTTAAATCAGTTAGTATTTGATAAAAAATAATTGGTTGTTATCGCAATAAAGAATACGATTTTTTTTCTATAAATAGTATGTATAATAACATTTTAATGTTCATAGATAACACTGGAAAGCTAACTTCTATTTATTAGGTCATTGGTCATAATATAGGTACAAAAATATACACGAATGCAGAAATTAATGAATACGATACATTAATTATCTACATTTTCGTATTGATTCCACAGAATATATAATTACAAAAAAACCATTGACTAGGTTATTTTAAGTATATATTTAAATAAAGGTGGTTGAAAGATGTATATTATTAAAATACTACATCACTTTATGCATAATATGGCGCTTATTTATGAATTTATGATACGGTTATCACTACACGATAAATTATATATTTTATACAAGAATATTTAATTTTTTACATTTTCAATTATAATTTATTAAAATTACTCATAAACTTTAATTAAAAAACCGAATAATATATTTTAATTGTTTCGTTTAATTAATAAATGGTTAACTAAATAAAAATAAATTAAAATTTTTAACTACATATTTTTCTGCATTATAAAGATGTACAATGGCATTCATCATTTTTATTTAGTCTAAATGAATTCATGTTTTTCGTAATTAAAATGTTTACTTTATAAGTAAGTATCTAATAAAAAAAAAAAAAAAAACAACAATAACATTATTCAAATTCATAAATATTTTTTATAATTTTGTATAGGTGACCTTTGATTAAAATTTTTATTTTGTCCCACCCCATCATTAAAAAAAAATATTAATCATTACAGTTTCTAAGGAGGTAATATGTAGTATAGTCTTAATTGGAATTTTATTTTCGTATAATTTTGATTTTTAAATCAAGTAAATGATTATATTATTATAATATAGTTTTTGTTATACTTTTTTCGTTGCTAATGGTTACATCATAGAATAATGACGTCATAGATATGTTGGTAAATTTATAATAGTGATTAATATTTAGGTAGTAGGTATTGATTATAATTTTAACTTACAACTATTATAACTTATAAGTATTGCAAACATTGTTTATTAATTAACAATATGAAAATAAAATATTATTTTTGAAATTATGTAGGAGGTTTTCTTATTGATTCATAATTATTATAAAAAGTTAATAAGGAATGATAAAATAAAATGAATAAATCAATTTATTTCATTTAATTTCTGTCTATAAAATAATAATTGTCATTTAAAAATTTAGCTTATTAATTATTATATTTATTTATAATTCTTATCGGATAATAAAAGTACGATTTAAAAATTTAAATGTTTCAAATTAAAAAAAAATATATATGATATAATTAATAATATAATCATTGATTTAATTTACTACTACATCTCCGAACTTTTAAACAAATTATTTAAACAGCAGTAACCTCATTATCTAATATTTCTTAACACAAACAGTTTTATTAAAATATCTCATTTAAAAAAATCTCATTATTTTTTCTTTTAATAAAATATTCAATATTCATAATTTTTGTGAGGTAACATATCCTTAACTTCATTAGTGTCATCAATTTCATAAAATATTTTTGAGACAATTGAAAAAATTAATACGTGTACATTTTTAAATCTATTAAAACCTGTTACTAACATTTTTATTATTTTACATCGCATTATGCTTGTAGTTAATTTATTTCAATATTGTTATAAGAATACGTAGGCAAACCTACTTATTTTTTAAACGAATCATACTTTTGAAAAACATTAATTTATTGGTAAGTTTCACAGAGTCAATTGAAAATGTTCTCACTATTCTATTGTTAGTAATACAATGATTAGTAGATAATTACATATTTTACCTTTCATTGTCTTAAAAATAATAACATTCTAACTGTAACTGACAAACCCTAATTGTTAAGTATTTAATTATCGATTATCGTATGTAATACAAAGCAATTTTATACTCACTCTTAAAAAAAAAAATGAAGCTGTTTACATGCAAATTACATTGTGTGTAAGTATAATATAATATTTAATACATGCATTAATTATATGCATGTAATTAAATTAAAATGTATTGGGAAAATATGAGAAGTAGAAATAACAAATATTAATTTTAAAAGTGATAAATTATACTTAAAAGTTAAAAGTTATATAGTTTGTTTAAATACATAATTTGACAACTACCTATATGATTAAAATAAATCTGTGTACTGTGTACAGTATTTGTAGGTATAAATATTTTATTATTAACTTTTTACAATTAAAAACATTGAACTATATAAATAAAATAAATATAATTATTAAATTTTATATTATTTTACCACCAATAAATCTTTGTATAATAATATTCTAGTAATCATAATATTATAACTTATAAGTTATAACGTATTATTTCTTATTGGATACCTAATTACTTTTATAATAGCATTATTACGAGACATATCATGAAGTATATTTACTATTTAGTGATATATGCTGATTGACTGTCTTCGTTTAGAATTATTTTTCGAATACAATGACACATCAAATTTAACATATCAATTACAATGACTAACTCAATACAAAATGCACAGCTGAGAGGTACTCAATTGCCTATTTTTTTTTTTATTTTTTTTGGAAATTTTAAATTATAGGTAAAAAATTAAATCATACTAGAATATTATAAAATCATATTTCACACAGTCTTACGTGATTAATGACTGCGGAAAAAAATAATTTTTATGCAGTAAAGACAATACAACTCACGAATAGTTGAAGATTTAATACAATATTTTAGGAAATACTTTAATAGTATACTAAAACTGTATTTATTATTTATATTATATTAATAAATTACTACATAATTATTTTGGTTTATTTTTATTTTTCCGTTGCATCACAAGGTATTAAATTATTTATTTGAACTTAATTAAAACTATTTTCATAACTATACAAACCGATAAATTTCTTATAATATGATATTTGTTTAATACAATGTTACTTATGCTGTATTTTTATATAATTATAGTATTTAAAATAAAATAAAAAGATCATTTTATAATAAAATGACTTAAATTGATTATGATATAGATATAGTATAAATTATGAAGTAAGCTCCTAAAAAAAATAAATATCTTACAAATAACCATTAATATTAATAATAACGTGTTGATGTTAATTTCGTTTCTACAATTGAGTGCATGTGGTGCCAAACATATACTTAAATGACATTAGCAACAAAGTAGGAAGTTAACAGTTATTATTCAGTCTCTAACGATTCATGACTTATGATCCCAGAGGTATGGTATGGCGTGTGAAATCTAGAGAACAATAGTTGTAAGAACTTGACCTACCTGGATGTTAGGGACCACCTTTATACTTTTTTTTTACTGAATTATTTTGTTAAAAAAAAAAGAAACAAAATTGCTACCTTTTTTCACAGTGATAAATATAATTCCGAAAATTCCTAAAAAGAATTTAATGCAATAATATTTCACTCTGTAAAGAACCATTTGATCTATTATACTTTTATTGTACAATATATATGTTTATTATTATTTAAAATGTGACAATAAGTTAGTTATTCAATTTAAAATAAAATATGTTTATTTTGTATTTTTATAGTAAAACCAAGTAAAATATTTAAAGAAATACAAAAGCATTTTAGATTCGAGGCTTAAAAAGGATGTTTTTTTTTTCATTTTTTTTTCAGTTGCATATTGTATGCTTTGAAAGTGAATCATTTATTTAGGACCTACCCATAATGTTTTTTTTTTGCCAAAAAAATTTGAAGTATATAAGATCTAAGAAAATTTTTTCATAACAGTTTCTTCAAAATAATAATTTAGTTGTACCTCTATACCGTATCACTACGATGTATATCGATTATTTTCAAATGTTACAATTCTATTTTTTAGCTTTCAACAACTTCATATTTAATTAAATAGTACAAATAATAATAATATATAAACAAATAAATATAACTTGATACTTGATCTAGAACGTATATATGTATAATAAAAACTCCTATGGTATATAATGATCTCGTTTTTTATATGAGTAAATGGTCAATTTCTACAGAACGTCATTCAGCATACACAGCATATTAGTTGTATTTTTATCGCATTCATACATATAGATGATTTTATGGCTATTTTAAAAGTAGTTATAATGACTAGATTAATTTTTGGCCTATATAATTATGTAATACAGTTAATTCATTTTCTAGGATTGAAATCATAAAATAAGTAATAGTTTCATTATTTTAATTAATTGAAACTGGTGTAATTTATTAAATTATAGTAGATATATAGCCGGATAAGTATAATGGGATTTATTATGAAACATAAAATTGTTATTAAAAACATTTTAGATATAATTTATATACGTATAAATAGAACAACATACTTAATATCATATATATATATAGGTATACCTATATCTAATAATATTGAGTTTGAAATCAATAATGGCTATTGGCATCTCTAAAAATGTGTGAATATTATGTGCAATTATACTAGTGTATTACTATCCAATATTCTATTTTTATGATTAATAATAAATATATTTATTCCGTTTAACCGTAATAATTTAATATATTATATTTGCTATCTATTGTGACAATTGTAGGTTTCGTGATTTTTCTCATAAACAATAATTAATTGATTTCTTGCTTAATAAAATAATTTATAGTTATAAAACAACAACTTTTACTGTTTTAATGTTAATAAAATAGACTTTCTCACGGGCGTCATCATTAGTCATTAGTTTTTTATTTCCCGCAGATGCCTGAAGATGTTTTTTGGTCTTCGGTGAAGATGTTCGAAGTGCATCGGTCACTACCTACCTATAAATCTATACGTTTGCCGAGAAATTTTATTTGTACAATTTTTATATGTCATTAAAAATACAAGGGATAGTCAGTTGTTCACGTTAAATAACCGGCCGATTAAATGTTTAAACGGCTCCGGCACTTAATAAAACGTCTCTGTTTTTTTTTCTTCAGATTTTATTTATTTAATTTGCGGACTCACTCTTAGTTAAGAGTTAAAACGTGTTCGGCGTTTAATGAATATCCTAAACAACAATTTAAATAAATAAATAAAAATAAAAAATAAAAATAAAAAAAACATATATGAACCGTACAGCATATATATATATATATATTTCATACGCACGTAGTGTTCATGGGTGTATATATATTTATATTGACTCGTAAATGTGTTATTTATGCAAATCGAGCGACGTCTCTTGGACATTGCCCATGAACACGCCATAAGACCGGCATTATAGTGTTGTGGTTGTGGGCATATAACATATATATAAGGTATATTATAATGTATATATTATTATTGTGATGTTTTCGTTCAGACGATCACACACCCACGTGAAAAATTCCATATTTACTCTCAGTCATTATTCTGGTCAACACATGTACTTTACGACTATATGACCGGGCAGCGATTTAATGACCCATTGAAAAAAAAAAAAAATAATAATAATAAACTCGACAATAGGATTTTTGACGTTTCATTCATGTACCTATAATATAGTCGATCACAATGCGAGTGTGATGTCCACGATTATATAGGAACGAAAATTTTCACCGGCGGCGCCGCGTTACCGTTTTAATACACGCGAGACGACGGTTTTCCATTTTCCCCTCAATAGTGGTTTGTACTTTGTATAGATATATCGATATAAATAGGTGCAGTATATAACATTACTGTTATTATTATTGTGCTATTATGTCGTCTATGTAGGCGAGTGTGCGTATAAAACGAGAGTCGCTGAACCCGATAGAATCGAACGGCCGTATAAAAATATAGTGTATATAATATATTATGATTATGAGTTGTAAACGTCACGTTTGCGGACTGTACGCGATACGCTATGATATTATTATGACGTATACGAGTGAGGACGGACAAAAAAAAGGAGGTCTATCGAGAGAAGTCTTAAATTTCCTCCCCATCGTATATGGAGATATACTGTTTCAAAGATATAATTATTATTCCTTATACGGCGTATTGTTTATTAGTGAATTTATAATAAAACGGTGTAATAGTTTATAATATGCTCTGCAGGTCTCCGACTGCACTTATGGGTGCGCGTTTCGTGTTCAACGAGCGATCTAAACCTTCTCCACCCTTCCCTCCCACCTATCGTCCAACAACTAACCGTCTACGTTCGCCCCTTATCCCGCACCGCCAGCACCGGATCTAGGGGGGGGGAATCCGGGGCATGTGCTCCGGATACTAGTCGTAAAGGGGCGCAAAAAAAAAAAAAGAAAGGTTATTGATATAAAAGGGCGCTAATTTCATATTTATTTTGCCCCAGTTTAAAAAAAATGTTAGATCCCACACTGTGCACCGAGATTGTTTAAACAACCGTTTAAAATCTGTGCTCGCGATTGTTTGCAGACGATCGCGCTCTGGTGCTGCAGCCGGCGCGTGTGTCCGTTGGAGCGGAGTACGGCGCGGGACGGGACGGCGGGACGCGATCACCACCGTCGGACGCGCGGAACAATGGAAAATCCGGCGTACAACCCGGAGGAGGGCCAGCGGATGGCCAACGAGTGTTTGGCCGCGAGGTTATTGTCCGGCAAGGACGGGACGGGCGGCCGCGGCGGCGGCACCGCGGTGTCCACGATCTACGACCCACGCGCCTACGGAACCACCGCCGCCGCCGCAGCGACCAACGCGCCGCCGGGTAGTGACGACGACGCCCACGCCGGCCGCATTCCAACCGGCGGCGGCGGCCGGCGGCCCGGCACAGGCCGGCGGCGAAACCGCGAGCAGCCACCCCGATATACCTCCCGCATTGCAGGCGCACTTCGCCGCCCAGGGCCATGTGCCACACCAACATGTTCGTCCTGTACACGTTCCTGTTCTTCACGGCTGTCATATGCCTGACCACCAGCGTGCTGTTGTACATCACTAGAATACAAGGTAGGTACTTATACTTATAATGTTCCGATGGTGTGCCTACGCCAACGACCGCGCGTGCTTCTAGGCGCACACGATGTTTATTACACGTTGCGCGTTGTGCGCGACGACGACGACGACGTATGCGTGCGCGTTTATAATAGAATCACAAGCCGTATATGTTAAAATCCGTGAAGTAATGAATTATTTCGTACGATATCATAGTATACAGGTTAGGTACCTAGGTATAATATTATGCCGAGCGCACGTAGTAGGCGTGCCCCCGTGGGCGATATCGCGTTTCTACGATTCGACGACGGCGCGGCGGCCACAAAGTAAAACGGTGACTTCGCGCGAGTACATTATAATAATAATATATAGGTAGGTATCTCACAAAAATCCTTGTACGCGCGCGAGTCCTCCGCCGCACTCGGATCGTTAACACGGACATCCGCGGACATTCTCCTGCGTATTGCATTTTAGTGATTCGATTTTGTCGATTTGTGAGCTATAATATAGACCCCGTTCTCGGAAGCACCGCCGTTATAAGTCTTTATTACAGTGCAATATAGTTGTTGTCATAACATAGTGTATAGCCGTGTTCTCTGCTCTAGGGAAGCAGGCGATATTATGACGAACACTAAAAAAATAATCAATAGTTTTCAATATTATTATCATAAGTCTGCTGTCGTAATATTTTTAATTGAAAATAATAAAAAAATTGTTTATGATTCACAGAGGTATTAAATGTATTAATCCACAAGCTGTTCGCAATAATATTGAATAACGCGTTGACGGTGCTAATCAGAGTAGGAATTTTTATTTAAACGTGAGGTATTATACTCTACCATATTGAATAATACCGTATTAAAAACGGCTCTCTTGTAAAATTTAGGCATATTGGTATACCGAATACATTATAAACGTACAATACACAATATGTATGCGTGTGCGTGACGTTCAAACGTGGGGCGTGCTATTTATAAAGTATTGTAAATCATGAGTTCCCTGGGTGAAGCAGCTGGCCGGAGTCTGGAGCTGTAGCGTTTACGCTCTTTAAAAATATGCGTAATTGCTGGGGTTCGGATTTCGAAACAAAATCCAAGGCATTATTACTGAAAAATATGAGATTAGGTAATTAGAACCCAAACCTTAAAAAAAAAATCTAATACATTTAGTGCCCATAATGAATTATTTTACATTGTTATAGTCCATTATGTTGTTGAACGTTGTGATTTAAGTATCAGAATGTACATTTATATCAAAACAAAATTAATTGTTATATTTTGTTTAAACTTTTCATCTTTTAAATTTAAAACCTATAATTATTTGTTATTATTGAAAATGCCTATGATATATACCAGTAAATAAAACATTTAATCGGTTAAAAATATTCACTTTTCAATATTTATTTAAATTAAAAAAGTGGGATGTTTACGACTACCACATATTTTGTTACGCTTGCTCATAAATGTTACTTTTTTCTTACCATCGAAAATAATTTTGTTCACCGATTAAGACCATCTCTATAATTAAATGTTAAAAATTGAAATTTATTATCTATAAAAGTTTTTTTTATATCGATTTATACTCGATATCATAGTTATTTACTACTATTATGGCACAAATAGTTATTGATGCCTCGTATTCGTAAACCGTAGTTAGGTATCAAATAAATTACCTTAATTTTATTGGAATTAGACGTTATCAAAATGCAAGTTACCATTCAATATATTTTTGCCCATTTTTTTTTTTTTTTAACAATACATTGCGAAGAGAATTTTAAATTGATCACTATATAAAACGAATTTATATGTACATACATCAAATTTTTATTACAAGAAGCTATTTACGAGTATTTGTTTTGTATACTCATAGATTTTCGTAATAATACTGCACTCGACTATAGAAAACTAAAGTTATCACAGATAATCCAATATAATATATCGTGTAAAAGTCGAGTCTATTTCATTGGCATTTATTTAAAAAAATTACTAGCAACACATACGCGCGTATTTTAATTCCGTGAAATTCTCGAATGGCGGAGAGGGGAAATGATGTTGGTCCACTCCCTTCCGATAGCAACCGTATGGCGCCCTTGTATTTAGGTACATAATTATATTATTATATAATATACGTTTGTCTACAACGCAGTATACCTACCTACAGCATTATGCGAGTATTATTATTATTATTATTATTATTGTTGTTGTTGTGTACATCAAACGAAGACATGAACGCGCGATCCGCTACAATATGCCATATAATAATAAATACGTATATAATTCGATTTAGACAACACAATGGGTAGAACTCACATAATGCACCACGCACTGTATTATAGACGTACCTATAGATCAATCAGATTATGTACCGAGATCGATTGATACCGAAATATCGATAGTGCACATAATGCAATACATTTTGTGTAGGATGCGCGTGTGTTGTGTGTATTATATTCATTATATACGAACATATAAATAAGTATGAGCACTGAATAGTGAATAGGAACTGATGAATAATATCATGCGCAATGCCGATTTCGGCCGTCGTGTTTCAATTGAAAAATATAACGCTATTGATGAAAACAAATTACCCGTAAAAACTAGGTTCTCCGGGTGTTTTTTTTTTTTTTTTTTTTATAAACATGTTCACGAAATATTCGATATTGCGGGTCCTGTACAGAGATATATTATACAATATTTTTAATATAATACAAGCATCTTTTAATTCATCGCCCGAGGCCGATAGTATATAGATATTAATTTTCAACAAGCACGTACGCGCGCCTGACCAAAAACCAATAGTAATAGGTATAATCGTATATTTTATGTGTAGGTATATACTATGTATACGTCGTCCGTCGATATTAATAATTAATAGGTAGATCATCGTATCGTGAGTTTTCCCAAACTTTTTTACTAGTCTCGTCGTAAGCCGTCCGTCACCGCATTGATTAAAATTAAAAAAAAAAAAAAAAATCATTATCATATTTTATAACGCACCTGTGCTAGTATTAAAATAAATAATCTAAGTATTTTGCACTCAAAAAATGCTCATAGTTGTTTTAAAATATTTTTATTTTGTATCTTTACAGTTCCATTTAAAGAGAAATATCCATTAGTAGTAGAAGGAGAATTTCAAATTACAAATATCCCGTACACGATAGGCTTTGTGGATAGAAACTCCACCGAGTTTTTAGCACTAAGTGCCAATATCACGACTCAGGTAACTATAAATTAACGCTGTACATAGTAGTTACTAGTTAGTACGTATACCATTATATTTCATTCTATTATAAGAATAATAAGCGCACTGTAAAATGTAACTAAACTGTTTTTATTTTAGTTGGATAACACGTTCAGAAATAGTGAACTGTCACCGTGGTATGATGGCTGTGAGGTGATTGATCTAAGTCCTGGTCAAGCTAAAGGTGTTCAAGTGCAATGCGAGATCAAGTTCTCGCAAGAACCCGAATCAGCTATTGGCATTGGGCAGATCGGTATTGCATTCCTTAAAACACTCCGCATACAACATGGACATACTTGGCTAGGCAACTACAGCGTGGATGTTCAATCTATTGGATTTCAAAGTAAATAAATACCTTCTTATTAATTTCTATAGAAAAATTTAAAATAAAATAGTTGGAATATGCTACAAAATTAAAAAATAATTACTATAGACACCTGCTTATTTTTGCAATTTATTTTTTTTGTTAACAAAATAATTTTCGTAGGCCTCAATTAAAAAGTTAGATCCCAAGTACAGCTGTTAAATCTGCTTGTGTCCATAAGAATATGGATGCCGATTTTGAAAAATATAAATAAGTCATGATTATAATATTAAAATACGAAAATCGGACAGTTCGGTGTTCAGTGAATTGATTACATAGATAATAACAGTATAACATTAATTTCGATACTGATAATATAATTATCACATATTCATATTAATACGTGAATCATGCATGTAGAAATTACGTCATATCAGTATTATATTAGGATATATGTTTTTTTTAATATTTTGAATGATGCTTATTTGTTATATTTGTCAAAAACTGTAAATATACTTGTAAAAAGTAGCGAAATTCACACTATTCAAAGTGAAAGATTGTAATGTCACTCTTGCTAAACGCTGGATATACTTAAGAATTACGACATAAACCAATACCTGCTTCATCGCTTTAAAAGAAATAGTACTTTATACTGTAACGTAGTTTTTCAATAAATAATGCAGCATTTCCAACTACCGAATATTATAATCATCTACAATATTATAAAACCATAATGTTGTTTTCTATGAAATAGTGAGTGGTGAGTTGGGAATGTGGACTGATTGGTCTGAATGGAGTGGTTGTGAAGATCCCGGAGATTATGTAGCTACTAGGACCAGAAAATGTTTAACTCGTGACACGCGAGAACCAACAAGCGTAGACCGATGTCTGCTAATACCGGGCAATAAGAGTGATCTGGACCTGATGCCCTGTCGAATATATCTATCACAAAGCTCGGACCTCGATGAATATTTCACAGTTCCACCATCGATTTCAACATCAACCAACAAGGAAGTAATTGAACAAGCACCGACGAACAAAGTCACTGAAAACGGTAATTATAAAACCACCCAAGTTACTTTTCACTAAAAGAATACTGCGCGCATTTAGAAATAGTAGTTATCTATACCTATTTATTAAAATCATAAAATATGGGTGGGTTTTACTATTTTATTATATAATATACATTCACTATGCATAGGTACCTAAATCGATTGAAATAAATATATTTCATTGAATAGATACAAAATATAGAAACTGGGTAATAAAATAATATTAGAACGGGTCTCGTCTGCTTAGAAATTTTTAAATTAAAAGAATTTTGAAAAAAAACCTATTATATTTTATTTTTATTATAATCGAAAACAGTTTTAAAAGACGTTCAACACTAACTATTATAATAATTCATACAACTACAATAATTATATTTATTTAAATTAATAATCGAATCTGTTTAGGCTTCAGGCTATTTCTCATTTAATATTTATTTTGATTAAATTTTAACAAGGATGTAAATTTAATCAGCCATAAAACATGTTTGTGTACTATAAAATAATTTGGTACTTACAATTGTATTCTGTAAAATGTCTACGAGTATGTACTATTCCATAACCGATTAAATTTATTTAAAATTACAGTTGAAGATAATTGGATTTGTGACGAATGCAAAGAAGACGAAGTTTGTTTGGCCGACCGTGATGAAGGAATTCTGCAGTGTTTGCCAAGCTTAGATACAAAGGATTTAACTGGATGTGGTGGACGATGTGGCATAAACACCCAGTACTGTCAAAATATTCATAGAAATGCGTATACGTAAGTCATCGTTATTTTATAACAATTATAATTATACATATTGAGATCATTGAATCACAAACAATATTCTGATATTCATGATTCAAGTAAAATGTGTGTACGGTAAAGATGAAATATTTTTTAAATTTCAACATTCCTTTGAAATTCCACTAAAATTGGTCATTCGGTAGTTACTACCTAATGACTATTATTAAGTTAAATTAATTGGAATATAAAATACCAAATTAAACTGGTTTGTATGTAATACACTATAGAAGACGGTGAATCCGTTCAGATTCATATAATAATGGTTTTTTCAAACAGGTTTTCCAAAATTAAAATAATATAAAAGTTTTTATTTTGACACAATATTAAACAATAGTTTGTAAATTTTCTTTGAAATTAGTTTTTAAATTGCTCCTCAAACAACTATAATTTTTTTTTTATTATTATTATTATTATTATTACCTTTCACCGTAATAGGTACTATAGTATTTAACCTAGCATTTAAAATTATTTTTATAGACATTTATGTTAAATAATAAAGTAATAACAATGCGATATTTGCATATAATAACAATTATTATGATTAATATAACTATAGATAATTAGAATATTAAATCACACGTTGAAATGAAAATAATTCGTTATTTAGTTGGTATAGTGGAAACAATTAAAACTGATGTGAAGAGAAAGATACAAAGATTAATATAGCGGCTTAAACGTCGACAAAGAATATTGATAAGGTTTTGTTATATTTTCGAAAAACTGTAAAGACTACGGAGAAAAAAGTGATACTATGCATAATATACTCATAGATATTATAATATATTCTATGTTCTTTTTATATTTCTCAAATGATTATAGGCATACGAATTCTACTTTCTTATTTGATTTTATTTTCACTCATTTTTACCCTTCTAAAAATGTCTTATTGCTTTTTATCGTGTACTTTCGTTATTAAAATATATTATTTCTAATCTTGTCATCAATTGTAGAAGTATAGATCATATTTAGACTACTTTTTATATATTATTGTGGGATTTAAATACAATCTAATCTCGTGACATCAATGTATTGAATATTTTATTAAATATGAATAACATATTCTTATTTATATAGCTATCTTCGTTATGCCTGGTTTCATATAATACGTCTTATTCAAATTGAATACCTATTTGATTTAAGATCCTATTATCAAATAATGTTTATTCGATCTTTTTCTACCACCCGCCCACAGATTATTTTATTCTGATTACAATATCCGTTTCAAACCCACAACATCTCATTTCACTACATATCCCATAAATACCTATAGGTAGGCATACCCACATGGCCACTTCCTGATAAAAAAAAAAAACAATTGTTTTATCCTGAATAAATAACTACGTATTTTGAATTATAAAAGTAATTGTTGTATAATAAATTAAAATCACATTAAATTGTTTATTATTTGAAATAAAAGTATTAATAATATTCAAATTTTTTGAATTAAGATTAAGATTTAGATCTCCCCTTTTTATGTTGTATTAATTTACTCACTTCTCAATAACTTTGAAATATTTATAAAATAACAGTAAATTAATGAAATATATAAAATGCAAATTACAATGTAATTATTGTTTTGGTTTTAGTTGTGTGGATACGTCACCGTGCTCTAAAAACGAGTTCGAGTGTGGAAACCGTATGTGCGTTTCGGATAAATCGAAGTGTAATGGTATTTACGATTGTTTAGACCAGACAGACGAAAAAGATTGTCGTAAGTATTGCTTGCCGCATACAATTATATAAATTATAATACTTTACATAAAAAGAAACGCGATACATTTGCATGTTTTTGATTTTAGCATGTGATCTCGAAACGCACTTCCGATGTGGCATTCAATGTTTGCTAAAGACGAAAATGTGCGATGGCGTGTCTGACTGTTGGAATGGCCACGACGAACTGAATTGTACCCGTAAGTATAGACATTTATTGTGTTTGTGATAAATTAATCTAGAAATAATAATAAATTATACATAACCAAATAACTTCATATATTATACTTATACAGATAAATAATATTAATATGTTACATACATAATATTATAATAAACACACAAAAAAAAATTTAGATTGCGAAGACGGTAAATTTGCTTGTAATTCAAACGATGAGTGTGTGATCTACGATCATTTTTGTGACGGATATCCAGACTGTACAGACAAGTCTGACGAACCGTTAGGATGTGAAGGGCCTTGCAGGAGTAATGAGAAAGCTTGCAGGTAGATATTGCATCGAACGAATATGCTCCTTCACACGAATGTCTTCGATTGTTTTGAGCACTATGTTTCTATTAGAATTTTCGAGCAACGCAATTGTTTTATACTTAGTTTAATAAATAATAATATAACATAATACTGATCGCCGAATTAAAATCAAATTTTTCAGTATTATTCGTTATTGATTTGTATATAATCAATATATTATATGGTTGGCTTTTATGATAGTTTTTACTTTTGAAATAATATTACATCATGCAAAGATTGTTTCTTAAAAAATTCACGAATTAGTCAAAATTATTCAATTTATTTCGTTTTTATAACAATAATTACATGATTAATATGGGTACGAAATATTATAACAAATCCCACTATATTGCTGCAATTATAATATTATATTTTGCACAATTCGCACGCATGTCTGTAGAGCGTGGCTTAACTATTAATACCTACTATTGTACTTTTATAGAAACTAGAATGTGATACTTATTGAACATATATTTGTTTTAATACAATATGTGTAAACATTTACAAATTATTAAGAATGTTTTTTACTTTAGTTATTAACAATTTTAATTTTAATATTCATAATTCATATTAATCTTAGAATTAATCATGTTTAGAATAATCATTATAAAAATGTATTGTCATGTTATGCATAAACAAACACTGTATTTATTCATTTTTTTTTTTCAGAAATGGTCGGTGTGTAAAAATCCATGCACTTTGTGATGAAATAGAAGACTGCGGAAATGAATTTAACAATAAAACTAATTGTTAGTTTGTAAAATTTAAAAATAATATGTATATTGAAACATTTATTTAGGTATATATTTTGTATTTGTTGTATGTTGTAAATTACTTAGTATTTATTAATAAAATATAATATTTAAACTTAAAATCGGATAAATTATTAAATTAACAAAGTATAATGTGTGAAAAGTACTTTAAAATGTGATATATAATATGTCAATTACGACGAAAGAACAAAAATATTATAATTAGGTATATCGTAATTAATAGAATACATGTTATAATACATCCTAATTGTGTATTTTATACACAAATACATAACTTTGAATGATAAAATAGTTTCAACATTCTTTACATTTTAAAACTTAATTTATTGTTGTATACCTAGTATAAATGTCTGATAAAATAATATAAATACGATTGTCAATAAAACATATAAATAAGCAATGAAGATTTAAGTAAACTGCTTCAAATACCAACACTTAATGTGTGACATAAGTACATATTTATGATTTCTCCAAAAACAAACTGTGCATTTACACAGGGAGTTCACTGATAAGACAATAAATATACCTACCTCTTTCTAAACCTAAACATGTCATGATTCCAACTGTCACTACATACATTTTTGCCTGAGTAACTACATCCTTTCAATTTTAAATTCTGAGTAGAGCGTAGAGCGATCATTGTGTTTATTTTAGAATGTGTATTGAGTATATTTTTAAATACAATTTTCTTCAATTTCGAATATAGTTTTTAGAAGCAGATCGAATCTAGTAGATTATTTAAGAGGAAAAGGGATCAGAATAATTGGAAAAATAAGACGAATGGGAATTTTAACACAAACAGGTTTTTATTGATTTTGTTTTAGGCTGTGTAATTAAAAATAACTAAAGAATTGAATTTTTAAGTATTTATGAATTTTTATTTGTAGATACCTAAAACTCTTGAATCACTTGATTCACACGATTCTAGATAATACGAAAAATTCTAAAATTATGTTATTACTTGATATCTATGTAAAAGATTCAGTATAAAAAATATATAAAGAATAATTTACGTTAATTTTTTATTTTATCAAAAAAAAAGGTGTTGTATTTAATGTCTACATTCGACGTATGGTTGAAACTGAACGCTCTATTCACGTATGAACAATAACTTAACATTAAATATTATTATTATCTCTTTTCATTAAAATAATTATCCATGTGTTAAAAAGTACAAATTTCATTTAATTTAGCATTGGAAACAACTCTCAAAGTTGATGATTGAAGCATTTTTACTACTTCACCAAATAATGGTTACAAATATAATCAAAAATAAAATATTACATTAGACCAATTGCTCAGTTCAGAATCTAAATTCGTTAGATTTGAATTTGTTTTATAGTTGGAATCTATCTGAAATTTATACTTTTTATACTTAATTATGTTATAGTTGATATGTGACATTATTGTAAAATGTTAATATGACAAACACATATAGATAATAATATATAGTTATAAATTATAATTATGTCATTACAATTCAAAAGACATGTTTATAATCCAATATTATTCTCAATGAAGATAAGCTTGTGATGTTTTTATTTTTAGGACTATATTTATTTTATAATAACATTTATACCTTCATATATCTAAAAAGTTTTGAAATTACAAAAATAAAACTTATTTTGGAAAAAATAAATGAATTGTATGTATATTAGATACAATATATAATAATGAATTGAACATGTTTGATTAATAATAGTTTATTGTAATACATAGTTATTATAACAGACTGTCTTAATTTAAAATAAAGTAAAACTAAATTAATAATATTACATTTATTTTTTTAGTATAAGGAGTAAAATACTAACTCAGAAATATTAATTCACAATATTACATAAAGACGGCGTTATGAATAGGCAATTTCAATACAATAATAAAATATAAAATATCCCTGTATTAGGGAGTTATACTATTTTGTTTTTTTGTGTGTTTTTTATACCTACTTAATTCTTATTATAAATGATTAGCTAAATTGATTATTCTTATAATAGCTTTTATGAATATTTGAATAATTTAGATGTTTATTTATTTTATATCTTATACTATTATGGGATAACATAAATCAGTTACATGTTATGCCTATAAGTAGAACTAAGCAAGGCTTTCGTTTAATAATGTACAAAAATAGTTAACTACTCAAAGACAAAAAATGAATTACTATTTATCTAAATATTAGTTTTTTTTTTTATATATAAATAACAGTTTTTTTTAACATTTTTTTTTTTCAATAAAATAAAACATTATGTAAGTATTTACACCTTCCTAATTTGTATTTTTAATAACTAGAATTTAAAAGATTACAGAAGCTAAAATAAAAAAGTCCAAATGTATCAAAATTGCTGTATTGTTACTTGTTAGTATATTCAAAAAATGAAAATAAAGATCTAATGTGTGGAAAATTGGTAACTGGTTATGTTAATAACTACTGATTTGAAAAAATATTATAGGTACCTACCTAAATAATATTAATACTCTTCCTATATTTGTAAAGTTTTTTATTGAAATATACAGTTATTAAAGTAAAACATAAATTTTTTAGATAACATCAAGTATGAATAGAATATGTAATTTTTAGAGAAAAAAATGAACACATATGACCTTTTTTTATAATTTACAAAATAAACATTTAAAGTGTATATGAATTTTTAATATATCTTTTTATAGAATTAATTTCTAGCTTGGTCTGCTTGAGATAGATTACCTATATAAATCAAGAGCATATAAAAATATGCAATATCTACAGGCTTCATAACTTCCGATTCCTATAGTTCCTCTACCTAATAAGTAATAACTATATAGGTACAATATTATTAAATAATAATTATTTTTATTTATTGATTGTAATAGAATAATTATTTAAAAGATAATTTTAAAGAAAACAATGTTATATTTAATAGTATCGTTTTTGTATAATCATTTGTAACATACAAAAAAATCATTTTTATTTTTTATAAAAAAATTAAAAATTTATAAACATCAATGAAACTGTATAAACCACAAAAAAACCGAATTAATTGTGAAAAAAGTATATAAAATATTTAATTGGTATATCTTTTTTGAAATAAAAATAAATAATTTTAACATAAAAAAATTCAAAAAATACATTAAAAAGTTTCGTCTATATTATAATCAAAATTCAAGTATTTTAGTATTTTTTCTTGATTTTATATACAGTTAACTGAGTTTTCAATGTTCATGTAAATCAAGCTTAACATTTTAGCTGTTAGTAACCTTATATTTTATTATTATGTTACCGGTATTGATATCGCTGACATATTACAAGACACCATTGACTTTTGACTTATAAATGAAAAACCAGGTATAGGTATCATCGACGATGCGAGTGATACCGGATCACTGATTAATAATCTGCTGACAATACTTAAATAGTTAACACTATTACAACAATACAATAATTATTATTAACACGATCTCCGATATTTAAAAACATATCTTATTTTTCATTTGATACCTATCTTTCTTATTTAAACATCATATTATTTAGTTTTTCGCAATAGAAAGTAATCTTATAAACGACTATTATATTATTTATTAATTATTATTCTATAATTTTTAGTAAAAGGTACTATTTTATTTTTGTATTTCAGTAACACTGCAAATAATAATATTTTATATTCTAGTACATTATTACTATAATTATAATATGATTAAAAATCCTCAATTTGAAGAGGAGATAAAATATAGTAGCATGCGTCATGTACTCATACAGTCATACATAACAGATTAGAGATTAATAATCTATTCATTAAATTAAAGATGAATTTAATTTAATTGTTTGCTTGATAGGATGCTACACACTTATTTTTTATGACTAACATATGAAAAAGTATTTTAAACATTTTTGTTTCAGTGATTGGTATAGTTTTGTGAAATTTAAAATTAAAATATTAATCAATCGCAACCAAATTTCAAACTAAAAAAAGTACTGACTTAAATACTAAATTCGTGAAATATCGAATAATTTATATCATTTTTTGGTGTAATAAATTACCTCATAAATGTTATAGACAACATATAAACTATGATATACATTATAGTTTATACACAATACTCAGTTATTTAATATTTGCATTTCTATAAAGGATGAAGTACATTTAATATTTATTTTAAAAGTCTAGACTACAGCAAACATATGTGTTTAATGGTAGAAGAAGGTAAGAATGTAGTAGCCAACTAATATTTTGTAATAAGGAAAAAAATTATTTTTTGCTCCCTATTTAAGCCCTAATTCATTGACTGTTCCTTAATACAATACATTTTTTTTTCGTATATATTATTATGCTTGAACTTGAATATTATTTCTTTGTTTACGATGTATGTAACTAAGATTTTATCATTAGAATATTTATGATGTAATAAGTAGGTACACTTAAGACATTATTAATTGTATGAGAATTATGGATAGTATATTATAACTTGATATATTTTCACTAATTTTACAGTTCTACAAATTTCAAGGACTAGTATACAATATTTACATGTATAGATTTATGATTGGTACCAATAAATTATTTGATGGGTATAGTCGGTTTAGAATAATATTGTCATCTATACTTACCACTATGTTTTATATTTACTATATATTATTATTATAATTAACAATCTGTTTGTAAAGTCGCGTTGGAAACAACGACGCCATTAAAATACTATTAAGATAATACATTATTATGTACTATACAGTAGAGTATAATATATATATGTATAGCATATATAGAGTTTTTATTATATACGTATACTGTATTAGAAGTCCAATTATACCGATAACAACTGATGTATTATACAGACGTGACGCATAAGAGACGTTTAAATAAAAGTTCTTTAAATTGTGTGAAATTTTATTCTAAATATATTCATTGCAGTCATATTTTACTTGAAAATAATAAACGTAATTTTAAAGTGTATGTTCCAAAATAAGTATTTTTCTATTAAACTCCTTCACTATTTTTCATATTTTTTCCCCTTTTTTGATTGAATGAATCATAATAACAAAGCCGTTTTGTAACTACG